GGGGGGGGAGAAAGGGAAAAAGGAAAGAAGGGAGGGAAGGTGGGAGGGGAAAGGGATGGAAAGAGGAAGGGAGGGATGAAGAGAGAGAGGAGAGAGGGAAAAAGAGAGAGAGAAAGAGAGAGAGATCACAGTAGTTATACTGGGGAGGTGAAAGCAGGAAGACAAGGAGTTCAAATCCAGCCTGGGCTGCAGGGAAGCCTGTCTTCAAATTAAAATTACAGCCAGGTGTGAGGGCATACACTTGTAACTCAAGCAGTGAGTAAGCCTCCAAGCAAGACTGCCAAAACACTGAGGCCAGTGTGAGAAAGGGTGTAACTTCCAGATTTATTGCTATAGATAAAGAAATACCTTCAATTAAAATCTTCATTAAAATCAGAAAGTTCTCAGACCATCAGTGAGGCTCACACAGTGACAACTTTAATAAGATATAGAAAGCCCAGTCTTGCCAGAAATACTGACAGCGCCTACAAAGCAGAGAGCTGAGTCAGGATGGGGAGGAAGGATTTGCAAAGGCAGGAGGATCACCCTTGAGTTCCAGACCAGGCTGCTCTACATACTGAGTTCTATACTAGTCAGGGGTATATAGCAAGACTCTGTTTTTAAAAAAATATTGGGGAGGGGTGTAGGAGCTGGAGAGACGGCTCCACGGTTAAGAGCAGTGGTTTCTCTTCCAGTGGATGTGGATTCTGTCCTGGTACCTACACCACTCCCATCACAGTCATGTATAACTCCAATTCAAGGGGCTATGGTACCTTCTTCTGGCCTGCATGGGCATCAGGCACATACATGGTGCACAGACATACATGCAGGCAAAATATCTATACACATAAAATAAAAATAAATAGAACTTTTTAAGTGAAAAGAGAAAAATATAGTTTGCCAAGAACATGTCTCCCACATTAAGCAATCTTTTAGAAATGTCTGAGTCCAGCAAAATGATTATGGAAAATAGCAACTGTACTGGGGCCCACCTACCTCGTATTTTCTGTAGTTTACCAGCAAAGCCAAGAGAACAACAGCATCATACCCATGCTCTCTACGACTTGGGGGATGGGAAAGTATCTGTAAACAAGAGGCAGAGGGTATAACTAAGTCCTGGTTCCTGGGAAGGCAGACGACAATTTTAAATGATAGACTATCTAAAAGAGAAAGGTCATCAGAAAATTGGCCTACCTGTAAAATTGCTTCAAATATACTGTTGATCATTACATATTCCAGGATAGTGTTCTGACTGATATTATCTGTAACCTGAATACAATAAAAAGCTTTTGAAAGTCTGTAAAAGGCACACATCTCATGTGTATCTCCTACCCTAGCATCTAAGTGAAACAGAAATGGTCAAGAACAAACAAAAATATCCCAAGAATCAAAGTCCCAAGAACCATTTTCAAGTGAGACACAATGAAAAGGAAAAACCAGACAATCTAAAGATGGCAGTTCTCCTAAAACAGTCCTTCTAACATAGTATGTATCAACTGGGAGACAGTTCCACAAGTTAAGGCACTTGCCACCAAGCCTAATAACCTGAGTTTCATCCTGAGACCCACACAGTAGAAGGAAAAAAAAAAAACCTGAAAATTGTGACCAACATGACTCTATGTGTGGGGAAAGGGGTACACAAAATAAAAGTAATCTTTTAAATTTTTAAGTAAAATAAAAAATAAACTGGTAAGTATCATAGAGCCTGGAGACTAAAAATGGCAGCAGCTGCGCCAAAGATTAATTTCCAAAAAGCAAAACTACATACAACTAACTTCCTTCTGTACATTCAGACCAAAAGGAATGATATAATATCCAAGGAGAGAATTCCTCTTTTATTTTTGGGAGGAAGTATTCAGCTAGGCTTGATTCAGCTGTAATTAATACCTTTGACAAACATATAGGTGGTCACTTACAGTCACCAAGCAAAGAAGAAGTTTCAGACATAAACTCTTCAGACTTTCAGAACCTTCGGCACAAAGTAATGAATCCAAACTCTCCATCAAGTTCTGGGGGAAAGAACCATTAAACATTAAAGCAAACCAAGTTACATATATACCCCATCTTTTACCTAGTACTGTATTATGTTACCTAGGATAATGTGAATAACAGAATCAACCATAACATTTCCCGAGTCCAGGCCTTGTAAGATCAAAGACAAGACTTCAAAGTCTAACTACTTGAGGGAAATGTTTTAGAACAACTGCAGAGAACAATAAAGAATTCACTCTTGTACTACATGAATGCTTGAAGCTTTATACATATGGAAACTTTAAGATCAGAACAATAAAGTAATTTGAAAAAGAGAGACCTAATGGTTGAATACTATACATGAACTTCCTTACCTTATTTGTTAGAGAAAGTGCAAGGTACAAGCACAGTATCAATTCACCACGGAGCATCAGTGGCATCTGAACATCAGTGACCATCTGAGCATCAGTGGCATCTGAGCATCAGTAACCATCTGAACATCAGTGGCATCTGAGCATCAGTGACTGTCTGAACATCAGTGGCATCTGAGCATCAGTGACTGTCTGAACATCAGTGGCAATTTGAGCAGTCCAAGAAAGCTAGCTGGGTTCATCAGGACCAACTCCAATTGACAATGTGACTGCAATGTGATGCTTGCACTAAAAAATAGCCTTTAGACATAAACTAATCCAAAGATGAAACCTTCATACTATGATAGAGTGAGGAAGGAAAAAATATTCTACATTATATAAAGGAAATTAATTCAAGGCTAGAGAAATGGCTTGGAGGTTAAGAGCACTTGCTCTTACAGAAAACCTGGATTTTTGGATCCCAGTAACCACAAGGTAGTTCAAAGCCAGCTATAACTCCAGTTCCAGGGAATATAACACCCTCTTCTGACTCTAAGGACATCATGTATGTACATGGTGTACATACATGCATGCAGGCAAAAACAAAACTCATACACAAAAAACAAATCTTTTTTAAGAGTAAAATTAAGGATTCAAAATGTTGGAATTTCAAAATAAGATGTTTTAACTGGATGTGGTGATGCAGACCTTTAATCCCAGCACTGGGAGGCAGAGGCAGGAAAAGCTCAGTCTAAAATACATAGCAAGTCACTGAGTTCTAGGACAACCAGGACTATGAAACATAAAGAGCCTGTCTCAAAAATAAAATAACATATAATATAATATATTTCAGTTAAATTGAACATGTGAGCATAAGACCTGGAAATTTACTTTCAAGAGGTTTTTAGTTTAAAGGGAAAAACAAAAGAAAGCAATTTCATCAATTCCTCTGACCTCCACACATATACCATGGCATACATATGCGCACATGTGCACACACACCACACACACACACACACACAAATCAATAAATGTAATGAAGTTTATTAATAAAGTAATAACAAGATATTTGATATAGACCCCTAGCCTCAACTCATATGTACACACACACGCCAGAAAAATGTAGGCTTAGTACAGTGGTGTACACCTGTAATCCCAGCACTAGGAAGACAAAGACAGGAAGATCCTGGGGCTTGTGAACCAGCCAGTCTAGGCAAACTGGCAAATTTCAAGGTTCTGTGAAAAACCTTGTCTCAAAAAAAATACAGTGGAGCCAGGCGGTGGTGGCGCACACCTTTAATCCCAGCACTTGGGAGGCAGAGGCAGGTGGATTTCTGAGTTCGAGGCCAGCCTGGTCTACAGAGTGACTTCCAGGACAGCCAGGGCTACACAGAGAAACCCTGTCTCGAAAAACAAAAACAAAAAACAAAAACAAAACAAAACAAAAAAATACAGTGGAATTCAAAGAAGACATTCAATGTCAATCTTTGGCTTCTACATGCAATCTACCCACACACAGACACATACACAGGCACTTCTCTCTCTGTCTCTCTCTGTCTCTCTCTCTCTGTCTCACTCACACACACACACACACACACACACACACCACACACATACACACACTTTCTTGAGAAGGAAAAGGACACCAAATAGACTCTGGAATACTCAAAGGCACATGAGGAGAGGCTACAAGTGTGCTGTTTGACACAATGCTTGCCTGGCTTTTACAAGGCCCTAGGTCAATCCTGACTATAAACCAGACATATGTCTATAAGCCCAGTAGTCAGAAGGAATGTAATTTGGGGTGGAGGAAAGGCAATTAAAACTGGTTTTAAGGGATGGAGAGATGGCTCAGCAGTTAAGAGCACTGACTGCTCTTCCAAAGGTCCTGAGTTCAATTCTCAGCAACCACATGGTGGCTCACAACCATCTGTAATGGGATCTGGTACCCTCTTCTGACATGTAGGCATACACACAAATAGAGTAAGCACTCATATACATTAAGTAAATAAGCAATAGGTCTTTTTTAAAATTTTAATTCAAGTCTAGCATGGTGATATGTGTCTCCATAGTCTAAGGCTATTAAGAGGCTGAAGCAGGAAGAATTATTTAAACTCATAGGTTCAAGACTAGCCTATGCATCATAACTAGACCTATTCCAAAAGGAAAATTGGTGTGGTCATGGTAGTGTAGTATGCCTGTAATCCCAACAGCTGGAAGATGGAAGGAAGAAAATCAAGACTTTAATATCCTGTTCTCTCAAGAGGCGAGAAAGGACACAAAGTCTGAAACATGACAAAAGACGTAGTCAACAAACTGCTAATACTAAGAGGAGCTTGGGGGTCTCATCAGACTCAGCAAAAATGAAGAAACTTATGTGAACATGAGAAATGACCAATGACTTCAGTGCAGACTATACACGTATGACCAACATTAGAAGAAACTGGGATTACTTCAGAAACTGAGGAAGAGATGCGTAAACCACAAACAGAATACACTAAGGTTCTTTGCCCAGATGGTGTCATTTCAGTTGCCTCATTGAGAGTTGGCTCAAACAATAACTTATCCTGTGTACAAACTTGGAGACTTTGTATAATTAATTGCCTCTTCAAATGTATTAGGCATACAAAGAAAGGCACTTGTACACATTTTGATAAGTAGCAAAAGACCTGAGGAAGGCAGGCCAGGAAGATGGCTCAGCAGGTAAAGATGCTTCCACGCAAGCCTGATGACCTGAGTTAAACTGTGGCCTGCACAGGTGCACCGTGGCATGTGTGTGCTCACGAACATTATGTATACAGGCTCACAACAGTTTTCCCAATGGCCAGAGGATCATCCACTCTGAAAAGAATTCATCTGTAAGTAATTCACAGCCTGTCAAGTTCAGGGCACTTTGACTTTCCTCAACCCTCCAATACCCATCACTAAGGGGCTCTTTCAGGAGCTGGTTTCCCCTCTGTTTGTGCAGTTGTCTCTCATTGTTTGTCTTTAAACATAATGTTTTTTGTTTTTTTAAAAAGGGGGGGTGCTGGAGAGATGGCTCAGTGGTTAAGAGCACTGACTACACTTCCAGAGGTCCTGAGTTCATATTCCCAGCAACCACATGGTGGCTCACAACCATCTGTAATGGAGATCCAATGCCCTCTTCTGGTGTGTCTGAAGACATCGACAGTGTACCCACATACATGAAATAAATAAATCTTTTTAAAAAAAAAAAAAACCTTCAGACAGACGACAGACAGTCTAAAAAGATGATTCAGTGCTCAAAAACATTTATTGTTATTGCAGAGGATCTACGATCAGTTCCCAGCACCCACAACAGACTCAAAATCATTCATAACTCCAATTCCAAAGGAGCCAATGCCCACTTCAGACCTTTCAGGCACCAACCACACATCAAGTACACAGACTTACAAGGACTGACTCTGAATAACAGAGCTCGCCTTCCGTGCAGAACACCACAGGCTCAGCCTCAGCATCACGTAATAGCTGACCCTGGAACTGCTCACATTTTATCTAGGTTCATAAATGTCATACAATGCTGGGCATGGTGGGCCACACCTTTAAACCCAGAACTCAAGAGACAGAGGCAAGTGGATCTCTGTTTAGTTTGAACTAGCCTGGTCTACATAGTGAATTCTGGGACAGCAAGGGCTATGTAGAGAGACCCTGTCTCAAAAAAAAAAAAAAAAAAAAGAAAGAAAGAAAGAAAGAAAGAAAGAAATGAATATAAGTCTTGAAGTATGTCTGCCTGCAGGTAGTAGTCACAGTCCGCTGTCTGTCAGGCAGCTGTGCACAGCCACGCGCACGTCTTGCCCCTCACCTTCATGCACAGCTCCGCTTTGTCAAAGCCCATCAGCATATTGATGATGTCAAATCCAGACGTAGATTTATTCTTCTGGTGGACTCCTCGAATAAGTGCACATAAGGTCTGCAGAGATGAGAAAAAGAATTCTTTCTAGAGAAAAGTCTCCACACTAGGGGTACACTAAATCTGTAGCCTCCCACTGCAACTACAGAACTGTACTGACAAGTCAGACTTTCCATTTCTGTTACTCTGAATTTGAAAACAGCTTGAGTGTTAACATATAAAAAACCCAAAGTTAACAAGCAGCACACCTGTAATCCCAGCACTGAGGAGATGGAGGCAGAAGAATCAGAAGGTCAAGGTGAGGGTCAGAGAGCTAGCTGAGCAGATAAAGGTACTGGCTGCCAAGTCTGACAAAAGAACCAACTTCCACAAGTTGTTCTCTGACTCCACAGATGCCTGTGACATGAATATGCATACACATACACATTCAAACACACATGCATGAGTACACACATACACAAGAGGATTGCCTGGGCTTTCTGGCCACCAACCTAGCTAAAAACTGGTGAGCTGTAGTTTAGTGACCCAATCTCCGGGAATAAGGCAGACAGTAAGAGACACACCACTTGTATCTCTGGAGGAAAAAAGTGAGGAGCTGGAGAGATAGCAAAGTGCTTGCCCTACAAGCCTGGTGACCTGCTTGATTCCTGGAACCAGGTACAAGTAGAAGCAGACAAGCCACACCCACAGCTGCCCTTTAGTCTCTAGGAGCACTGTGGCATGAACACTCCCAAACACATTACATACAGTAAATACACTGAAACAGGATCTCACTTCGTAGATGCGGCTGGCCTGAGATTCCCTATTCAGATCAACCTAGCTTCCAACTCACAAAAATCTACCTGCCTCTGCCTCCTAAGTGCTGGGATTAAAGGTGTACCCACAATAAAAATTTTTTAGAGATTTATCTTTGAGCTTATCTGTATGGATATTTTGTCTGTACGTGTGTCTATGAAACCACTATATAAGAGGAAAAGGGCATTGAATCCTCCGGAACTGGACTTATACACAACTGTCAGCAGCCACGTAACTGCAGGGAACTGAACCCAGGTCCTCTGCAAGAGCACCAAGGGTTAATTGCTAAGCCATTTCTCCAGCCTCCTCCCCAGTAAGTTTTTTTTTTAATTAAAAAATAAAAATAACAAGGTACAAAGTAATTGTGGAAGATACCCAGTGTCTGCCTCTGGTCTCCACACATATGAACATATACACAAACACCACACACATAAAAAATTAATAATAAAATAAAGCAGGAAACCATTTAAATTAGACTGGAGAGCTAGATTAGTGATAAGAGTACATGCTACTCTTTCAGAAGACCAAAGGTTGAGTCACAGCACTCATGTTGGGTGACTTACAACTGGCTATAATTACAGCACCAAAGGTTTCTATACCCTCTTCTGGTTTATAGATAGAAATATCTGTATTCACATGACACAAAGACACATAATTTAAAATAATAGTAATAAATGTTTTAATTTTTATTCATTTTTATGTATATGGATGTTTTACCTGAACACATGTCTGTATACCACATACATGTCATGTGTCCACAGAGGCCAGAGAGGGCATTGGATCCTCTAAAACTAGAGTTACAGACAGTTCTAAACTGCCATATGGGTGCTGGGAATCAAACCCTAGCTGTCTGAAAGAGTGCTCTTAACCAATAAGTTATCTTTCTAGCCCATAATAAATGTTTTTTAAAGCTAAATATAACAAGAAGATGGCTAACATGACAGATGTTTTTATTTTTAAAAATTAGAACTAAAAAGGAAAGAAACCCAAACCAAATCTGACACCTAAGGCAACTCTAGGTTCCTCGGCTTCTAATAGATGAGCTGTAACTCCATTCTCCCGTTATACAAGGCTTCCCCACCTCCCAGCCTATACCTGCAATGCATTGACAACTCGGATCGGATGCTCCTCCCCCAGAGCCTGGATACAGTGTTGAAATAAACAATTAATGTTGTCCTTGATCTTCATTAACTCCTCACCATCCAGAGATTCCAGCTTGCCTTCCAGATACTCTAAATTCACCTGTCAGAAAGACAATAAGGCCTGAGCAGACTTCCAGTGCAGCACTCAGAACACATGAATGAGACAATCTTACCTACCAGAGAGCTCCAACACGCCACCCACTCTCACCTTCATGAGGAAGAGCTCCTCCCAAAACCGAGGACTACACTTACTGGGATCCTCTGTCTGAAATCAAAAGATAAACATGTTCAACTTTATTGCGAAATCAAAAAACATCAAAAAACCTATCAGCTTTACTTTGAAAATGTTTTCTTAACTTAAACTACAACAACAGAGAAAAAGAACAATGTTTTCTGTAGGCAGTGTATGGATATATATTTTCTACACTGAAAGCAAAACAATGGCTCAAAACATTTCCTTTACAAGCAAGTCGTAGGCAGAGTCAGTGAATTGTCCCCTGAACCTTCACCCAGCCAATACTCGGTTCTGAAGATATCTGTATTCCCCCTGAACACCCACACTCCAGTGTCATTCCCTTCCCCAAATCCTGCCTTTCTGTGTTTATAACCCCTGGGTGAATTAATTACGATTTGAGAAAAAAAAAAGTCTTAAAAAAAAAAAAATTTCCTTTACAGGGCTGGAGAGATGGCTCAGTGGTTAAGAGACCTGACTACTCTTCCAGAGGTCCCAAGTTCAATTCCCAGAAACCATATGGTGGCTCACAACCATTTGTAATGGGATCTGATGCCCTCTTCTGGTGTGTCTGAAGATAGCTACAGTGTACTCATATACAGAAAATACACAAATAAATCTTTAAAACAAAACATTTCCTTTTTTAAAAAAAAAGCATTTCCTTTTAAATGCTTTTCTTTTAAATAAAAAATTAGGCCAACAGACATAGCAGTACATGTCTTTAAGCCAGCACTTGAGAGACAGACGCAGATGAATCTCTTATGAGTTCAAGGCCAGCCTGGTTTACATATCGAGTTCTGGAACAGCAAGGAATGCATAGAAAGATTTTGTCTGAATCAATCAATCAATCATTCAGGGCTAGAAAGAAAAGAACACTGGCTGTTATTCTGGAAGACCTGGGTTCAATTCTCAGCGCCCACATAACAGCTCACAAAAGTCTATAACTCTAGTTGTAGGAAATCCAAATGCCCTCTTCTGGCCTTCTCAGGCACTGTACACAAATGGTGCACATACATGTAGGCAAAATATCCTCACACATAAAACAAAAATAAATCTTTAAAATAAAAGTACACACACAAACACACACCCTCCGTCACCCTTAGCTATATAACAAGGCCAGCCTGTGACACATGAGATTCTGTCTCAAAATAAGAAGTAGTCCTATTAAGATTCTACTATCTACTTTTTTTTTTAAGATTTATTTATTGTATGTACATAAGTACACTGTAGCTGACTTCAGACACCAGAAGAGGACATCAGATCCGTTACAGATGGTTGTGAGCCACCATGTGGTTGCTGGGAATTGAACTCAGGACCTTCGGAAGAGCAGACAGTGCTCTTAACCACTGAGCCATCTCTCCAGCCTTATCTCCTTCTTTTTATCTTCTCTGTATAGACACGCTATATTTGTTTTCAATAAAACAGACATGGTACACAAGACTGTAATCTGAGTGTTCAGGGTGCTGAGACAGGATTACCATTAAGGCCCAGGCCAGACTAACAAGATCCTGTTTCAAAGCAAAAAAAAAAAAAAAAAAAAAAAAAAAAAAAAAAATCTGATTTTAAGGCTTGCCAATAATTAGAAGTGTTTCATCTGAGTGCACTATCTATTTTGAGTGTGGCAAAGCTGAAAAAAGAAAGCCTCTGGGTTAGTTACAAGTCAAGCTGGAGTTCCATCCCTCTATTCTGAGACAAATTACTTCATCTATGAAATGAGAGTATTGTGACCATCAACATGGCTCAGCAGATAAAGGTCCTTGCCACCAACCCTGATGGCCTGAGTCTGATCCCTAAGAACATGATGGAAGGAGAGAACAGCTGTCCTCTGACACTACCACCCACCCAACCACACAAGTAAGTAAAAAAATAAATGTCTAATTTTTTTTGTTTGTTTTTTTTTTTTTTTTTTTTTTTGATACTGGATCTCACTACATAGTCCTAAATAGCCTGGAACTCTACATATATATCAGACTGTCAGCCAACTCTAATAGAAACCCACCTGCCTCTGCCTGCAAATGCTGGGATTAAAGGTATGCGCCAATACACCTGGCCTTAAAGATTGTTTTTAATGAGGGTATTATCAGCTCCAATAAAGATTTCTTGTCATGATAAGAACTAACGTGTTTAGTAACATAGCATGTTAGTGTGCTGCCAGGCATACAAAAGAAACAGAAATATATGATCTTTATAAGTATTATTCTAGTTTACATTTGAAGGCTGAAATAAATCTTCAATCTAATTCATAATAATTCTGTAGTCGTCCCATATAACTAGATAATGAGATATCTAATTAGTCTATCTACTTGAGATAGAATGTAACAATGCATCTTTTTTAAAATATCTGAAATTGAAACTGTAGAATTCAAGGTACAAAAGAAAATTCATAGGATATCTATCATTTTTAAAAAGGGGGGCTTTAGGTAAGAAAAAGAAACAAAGGAAGGAAGGAAAGGAGGAAGGAAGGAAAGAAAGAAGGAAGGATAAAAACTGAGTCTCGAGACTGAAGAAATGGCTCAGTAGTTAAAGCCACTTGCTGCCCTTGAAGAGGAACAGGGCTTCATTCTAAGCACCAACATCAGGTGGCTAGCAACAACATGTAACTCCAGCTCCAAGGTATCTGATTCAGATTCCCTTTCTGACCTTTGTGAAAACAGACGCAACCTTTTTTTTTTTTTTTTTTTTTTTTAATTCCACACAGGGTTTCTCTGTGTAGTCCTGGCTGTCTTGAAACTCACTCTGTAGACCAACCAGGATGGTCTAGAAATCTTAGAAATCCAAGCTTGCCTCTGCCTCCTGAATGCTGGGATTAAAGGCATGCACCACCACCATCACCACCTAGCTGACAAATCTTTTAAAAAAGAAAAAAGTTGAGCTGGTAGGATAACTCAGACAGTAAAGGTGAATGGCTCAAAACCCTGGTGATCTGAGTTTAATCCCTGGGACCTACATAAAGGTAAAAAGACAGAATATATTTCCACAATCTTGTCCTCTGATCGCCACACATACTCCACGGAAATTATAAGTAAATAATATTTCTTAAAAATATTTGGGGAGCTGAAAAGATATCTCAGAGGTTAATAGCAATTTTTACTCTTGCAGAGAACACTACAGTTTGGTTTCCAGCACCCTTATGGCAGCTCACAATTGTTGCCCCTGCTAGCAAAGCTGTAGCCATTTTGTTCCATTCCTTCCAGTCATTGACACAGAAAAATAGCTTGACTCAAAACAGGGTCAAGCTGCCCACAAACCTGGTTATATTCTGAGGCTTATTATTATTATATTATTATTATATTTTCTTGGAAATTCCCCAACCAAAGCCTTCTCTCAGGGCCAATCAAGATAAAGGTTAACTTGAACTGTTATGTCCAAATTGCTAAAGAAACTTGGAAGAAGGCTGACCATCCTGCAGCCCCTACATCTGCTTATGAGCTCATTATGGTTTTTCCCTATATAAACTGACCCTGAACAGTGTTCACTCTCACAGCTCCTGAGTCTGAAGCTACTTCCCTGATCGATCAGTCTTAGGGTATACATTCAATAAACTACCCCAGTCTGACTGAGATCGGTGTTCGTGTAGTTTGCTGGGCAACTCCTGAACCCCAACAACTATCCACAACTCCAGTTATAAGGGATCTGATGATATCTTCCTACATCCTACATGAACATCAAACACAAATGTGGAATATTCACATTCCACAAATTCGTGTAAAACTCTCATATACATAAAATAAAATTTTAAAAATATAAAATATATAAAGATGGATGGATGGATGGATGGATGGACGGATAAATAGATGAAAAGAAATTGCCAGCCAGATAGTAGTGGTATGCTCCTTTAATCTCAGCACTCAGAGGCAGAGGCAAGTGGATCTCTGAGTTCAAGGCCAGCCAGGTCTACAGAGTGAGTTTGTAGATAGCACGAACTAAACAGAGAAACCCTGTCTTACAAAACCAATGAAGACCATAAAGAAGAAGAGGAGGAAGAGAAGAAGGAGGAGGAGGAGAAGAAAGAAGGAAGAGAAGCAGGAAAAGGAAGAAAAAGAGGAAGAAGAAAAGGAAGATGGAGAAAGGAGGAAGAGGAAGATGAGAAAAAGGAAAAGGAGGGAAAGAGGAAGATGAGGAAGAAAAGGAAGAGGAGGAGGAAGAAGAAGAGAAGAAGAAGGAGGAGGAGGAAGAAGAGGAGGAGGAGGAAGAGAGGAAGAGGAGAAGAAGAGGAGGAGGAAGAGGAGGAGGAAGAGGAGGAGGAAGAGGAGGAGGAAGAGGAAGAGGAGGAAGAAGAAGGAGGAGAAGGAGAAGGAGAAGGAGAAGGAGAAGGAGAAGGAGAAGGAGAAGGAGAAGGAGAAGGAGAAGGAGAAGGAGAAGGAGAAGGAGAAGAAGAAGAAGAAGAAGAAGAAGAAGAAGAAGAAGAAATAATAATTCCCAACCTGCTTCCTCATTTCAATTGTTTTACCTAGAGCCTGGCAACAGTGCACAAGATCTCAGCATCTGGATGATGGAAGCAGGATTAGGAGTTTAAGGCCATCACTGACTACAGTAAGTTTGACGCCAGCCTGGGTTATATGAGGTCATCTCAAAAAAATGAAAACAACCTTTAGCAATGAATACTTGATCATACATGTCTACTCTGAGAGCTGGCTCACATTAGTCCTTGAGCTCTCCTCTGGACTTAAACTTACTATGCAGCAAGGTGGTCTTCGGTTCTAATCCTTCTACCTCCCATGTGGGAGTTCAAGAGTGCACTGCCATGCCCACTTCTACAGGGTACTAGGTATCAAACCCAGACAAGACCAGCACATCTATAGCCCACACTTGACCTTCCCCCAAGCCCTGCCACCAGCAGGGTCCCGTTCTGTAGCCTACAAAGAGCTATAACTTACTATGTAGCCCAGGTTGGACTTATAATAATAACCCTCTTGCCTCAGCCTCTTTTTTTTCTTTCCTTTTTAAATTTTATTTTATTTATATGGATGTTTTATCTATATGTGTAGGTGTATGTTTGATGCCCATGGAGACCAGAAGATGTCAGATTCCCTGGTACTGGGGTTACAGATGATTGTGAGGTACCATATAGGTGCTAGGAATCAAAACAATCTGCTGGAAAAACAGCCAATGCTCTTAACCACTGAGACACCTTTCAAGCCCTTGGCTGAGACTCTTGAAGGCTGGTGAAAATGGCAAATAGAAAGGTTTGGGGGGGGCATTATTTGTTGGTTGTTTTGGGGGGTGTACATCTGTATGTATATTGTATACATACATGTAAGCACATGCACATGCACAGGGTCATACAAGTTTTCTGGCATGCATATATAAATGCGCCTGTGGAAATCAAAAGCAGACAGACATCGGGTATCTTCTTCAACCAGTCTCTACTTTATTTACTAAGCAGGGTCTTTAGCCCAGAGATCACTGCTTTGGTAGTCAAGCTAGCCATTTTGCCCAGGATATCCCCTGTCTCTGTCTGTAAGCACTGGGATAACAGGTGGACTATTGTCCCCATCCCGAGTTTTAAATGGGTGCTGAGGATCCGAACCCTGGTCTTAAGTACACAGCAAGCAGTTTATCCTCTAAGCCATCTCTCTAGTCCCATAAGATTGTTTCTGATTAAGATTACTTGGGAAGGCTTGAGAGACAACTCAGCAGTTAAGAACACTGGCTGCTCTTCCAGAGGACCTGGATTCACTTCCCAGCACCTACATGACAGCTCACAACTGTCTGTAGCTTCAGTTCCAGGGGATCTGACACCCTCCTACACACACATGTAATGTAAGGAAAGTACCAACACACATAAAATTAAATAAATTAATTTAAAAAAAAAAACAGAGTATTTGGACTAAAAACCTCAAGAGTCAAGGTTAGCATGGTGGTTCATGCCTACAACTGCAGCACTCAAGACGATGAGGCTCGACGATCACTGAGTGTGAGGACAACTTGATCTACACAGTGAGTTCCAGGCCAGCCTGAGCTATACAGCAAGACTCTAAATAGTGGGAGGCCTGTTGCAAGTTGTTCTCCGATTCCATACATGCACCGTGGCTTTGTTCTTCTGCGCTTGCTCAAACACAAATATGTGTACACACACAGAGATAAATAAACACAAATTTTTTTTTTTTTTTAAAGAAACAAAAGATCAATCTAGCTATGCAGTATGGCGGGACTCCAGGCCTTACCAGGAAAATCTCATCATACATCAGCACCACTTTTTCCTTTAGGGGTTTTTTTGAGGCTGAAGATTTCCGGAGCAAGCCTCCCCGCTTCTCTACTTGTGCCATGGCTAAAGAACCTGTGGGGTAGGGTGAGACACATTTTAGGATAGTGTAAATATGGTACCATAACAGAAGAAATATGTTGGGATGCATTTGTTCCAACCCACAGAACATCCAGCCGAGAATATACCTAATGCCAACTTGGACTCTAGGTGGTAATGATGTGTAAGTCAATGTAGAGCAGTCAACTGTAACAAATACATAACAGGACACGCTGTGGGTGTGCAAAATCACACACTTTAGTATGGACTACCACCATCTTTCTCTTAATTTTGCTATGAACCAAAAATGCCTGTAAAAAAACAAAACTCATTTGAAAAACAAAAGTAGTTCTTCATGCCTGTAATCTGGGAGGTAGACAGGCAAGATGATTAAAGGTTCAAGGCCGGGGGCTGGAGAGATGGCTTAGTGGTTAAGAGCACTGACTGCTCTTACAGAGGTCCTGAGTTCAAATCCCAGCAACCACATGGTGGCTCACAACCATCCGTAATGAGATTGGATGCCCTCTTCTGGTGTGTCTGAAGACAGCTACAGTGTACTCATCAATAAAATAAATAAAAAAAAAAAAAAAAAAAGGTTCAAGGCCATCCTTAGCTGTATAGAGTTCAAGGCCAGCCTGAGCTTCAGGAAACACTGTCTTAAAGAGCTGGAGAGACGGCCATGAGTTCAATCCTCAGGAACCACATGGTGGCTCACAACCATCTATAATGTGGTCTGATGCCCTCTTCTGGCCTGCAGGTGTACATGTGCATAGAGTATTCAAATACATAAAGTAAACTAATAAAACTTAAAAGAAAAAAACAAAAAACAGAAGGGGGGGTGAACAGGCAGACAGGTAGGGCCAGGGCCATAACACTTTAGGATACTACGACTCTACTGAAATATATTCAGTGGGAATTTTTTTAGAAAGAAGAAATAATAAATAATGGCAATAGATCTTATTCATTATTCTCCTCCCCAGACCAGGTAATATTAAGACTTAAAATATTAATTGCCCTATAGCACAATACATTTTAAATCCATAACAAGTACCAGTGGCTAAAGCTTAAAGCTGATCTAAAAGCAAACAGGAAAGTGTAACTAGCTCCATCTATAAGAAGCCTGACCACACATCTGAGGAGGAAAGAAGGCAGGCTGCGGAGCACGCGATGCTCACAGGATGATGGTGAAGTCAAATTTCAAATATTGATGGAGCTGAGGACCACTAGGGCAGGAAGTACACTACACACTGATGTGTTCCATCGATTTCCCCCAGGTAAGCAGGTCCTCATCACGGCCCAGCGCTGGCCCTGCACTGCCTCATAAATCACTGCACTTGACCACCTTCAGAAATCCCTCTGGAAAGAGACTATAGGCAGAAAACAATTAACAAGCCAAAAAAAATGTGATTTCAAAATAATAGTAATATGCTACTTCCAAACTTACTTGTATAAATTTATAATACTATTGCAGATCAAACTTCAGCTAATTTTTGGTTCTATAGAGCAGCAGTCCTAGAATCTTTACATCGTCACGGAACTCTCAGTTGTTTTTCAACTGAGACTTAAAATCCCATGGGTCTCCAGTGCAGATTTACACACATTCCCTCAGCTCCCTCACTTGTTTTCTTATTAGCCAAGTTTCATCTCTCTTAAATCCTGAGCTCTGTATATGAAATCTAGACCCATACAAGACAATTAGGAGAATACTGGAGAAAGGCCTGATTTTACTTCTACATAAATTCAAAGCCACTGAACTCATTTTGTAAAATGAATTTTGAAAATATATACTGGGCTGAAGAGATGGCTCAGTGGTTAAGAGCACTGACTGCTCTTCCAAAGGTCCTGAGTTCGATTCCCAGCAACCACATGGTGACTCACAACCATCTGTAATGATGCCCTCTTCTGGTGTGTCTGAAGACAGCTACAGTGTACTCATGTGCATTAAATAAATAAAATCTTTTAAAAAAATGAAAAGGCATAATAAAAAAGCATGGTTAAAAAAAAAAAAAGGAGGCAGAGGCAGGCGGATTTCTGAGTTCAAGGCCAGCCTGGTCTACAGAGTGAGTTCCAGGACAGCCAGGGCTACACAGAGAAACCCTGTCTCGAAAAACCAAAAAAAAAAATATATACTACCTCTGAAATCAAAACCAAAATTTAACTTAAATAAGAGATGCACCCAGGGTCTGAGAGATGGCTCAGAGGTTATGAGCACTGCCTGCTCTTCCAGAGATGCTGAGTTCAATTCCCAGCACCCACAGGCAGCTCATAACCATCTGTAATGCAATCCGATGCCTTCTTCTAGTGTTGTCTGAAGACAGTGACCGTGTACTCATATAAATAAAATAAATAAACTTTAAAAAAGAATTAAAAGAGAGATGTGCCCAAAAGTACACAAGATTCTCAGATATCATCTTGTCCTAATACATACGCCAAAAGGGAGATTCCCACCTTTAGCCATGTACCAAGCACAGACAACTTCTCCAAGCAAGGATTAAGCACCTTTATCATAAGAACTACAACATATGCTTCTCTTAGAAACATTTGGTTCATGGGAAATGCTCAGCAGAGGTTGTTTACCAATTCTGATATGAGAAGAAATACTTCTCCAAAGTCTTAAGTGTGGTCAGACATGGTGGTGCACACTTGCAATCCAGTTTAGCCTGGGATATACATAGGAAGTTCCAGGATAGCCTCAACTACAGAGGGAGATTCTGTCTCAAACTGTCGCCAGATGGGCAGGTGACATGGCTCAGTGGGTAAAGGTACTTGCTACCAAACCTGAAGATTTCATTTCATCTCAGGAACCCACAAGGTACAAGGAGAGAACAAACTTCCTGGTTATCCTCTGACCTCCACATGTATGCCATGGGTCACATGCACCCACACAAAGACATAATTGTAATAAAAATATTTACACTTTGACCAGATGTGATGGCTTGCATCTCTAATCCTACCTCTCAGAAGCTGAGGCAGGAGGACTATTAAGAGTTCAAGGTAGGGGGCTGGAGAGATAGCTCACTGGTTAAGAGAGGACACTGACTGCTCTTCCAGGGGGCCTGAGTTCAATTCCCAGCAACCACATGGTGGCTCACAACCATCTCAAATGGGATCCGATGCCCTCTTCTGGTGTGTCTGAAGAGAGCTACAGCGTATAAATAAATAAATCTTAAAAAAAAAAAGTTCAAGGCTAGGCATGGAGAGATGGCTCACAGTTAAGAGCATTGGTTGTTCCTCCAGAGGACACAGGCTTCAATTCCCAGCACCCACAGGGCAGCTCATAAGCATCTGTAACTGAGTCCAGGAAATCTGATGGCATCTTCTGGCCTCTGTAGGCACCAAGCACACACTTGGTGCATAGACATACATTCAGACAAAGCATCCATATACATACCATACATATAAAATAAAAATAAATCTTGAAAATAAAATTCAAAGCCAGCTTAGACTACAGAGTGAGACTCTCTCAACAAATAAAATAAAATAAAACCCCAAGCACAGAGATACATACTCAGAATTCCAACACTAGGGAAATAAAGATAGGAAAAACAAGAATTCATGATCATTCTCAGTAACATAACAAGTTAAAGGCCACTCTCCCATACACAGGCTCTGAGTTTAATAGTACCAACAACAATAAAAAGTCCTAGGTCAGACCTAAAATTTTAGTTAAGACCTAGCTCTATTATTTTAACCAAGCTTTCAATTTCTATTATAATCTAAAGAAAACTGAGAAGAAAATCAAAACAGAAGACTCAAGATAGTTTCCATGATATTGATCATGGCTTTGTCTTAAACATGAAATACAGTTCCTGCTAAAAAACAGTCCCATGTGACATAAACAGGTTGTCAAAAGGAGGATGTCCTCATCTCAGGAAAATAATTTGGAAACCAAGAGAGTCTAGTTAAATAAATCACAAACAACGCACTTCTACTTGCAGTGGCTACAGAACTCGCATGTCTCAGCTTTCATGAGCTGATTAGCAGGAACATCAAGGACCACAAGTTCCAAAGATATAAAAATCACGTGTTTACAAACATCCTCCTGTGAGGATCTATACTTGGGTTACAGCTAATCAATGTTCATTCCAAATCTAATAAACTCTCTATTTTAGGATCAATACTTTCTAATAAGCAAAAGGGAATAGAAGAGGAGGATAAAATAATTCTGATCCAAACTACCAAATTGTCAAATAAATTATTTTCATCGTTCTCCTTCCATGTGAAAGAGAATAAATACAGTCAATGGCCTCAGCTCAGTCATCTGTCATCACCACAGAGCTTGCTGGGATTTGTCCCCCAAACTGCCTGCAAAGTAACTTGAAACCGAGAACATAAAGCCCCCCTCCCCAATCCCACCCCCCTAGATCCCCAGACCCCTCCCCTGCCAGTACTCCCACCCATGGAAGTCAGCAAATTAGGGTTTTGAGGGTGGGAGACTCTAAGAAGTAAAAACTTCTCACAAGGTATTCTTTGGGTCTCAGAAATTAAAATCGAAATTAAATGTGAAATAACATATCTTGCAGCTGAAGAGATGGCTCAGTTATGAGCACTAGCTGTTCTTCCAGACGACCCAGGTTCAATTCCCAGCACCCACATGGTACTCACGACTGTCTGTAACTCCAGTCTCAAAGGATCCTATCCTTCTGGACTCCTCAAACACCAGGCACACACATGGTTCATAGACAGACAGACAGACAGACATTTTTAATTTAAAAAATTATCTTGGGGCCAGAGACGAAACTTAGCTGGTAGAAGGCATCAGTGACCTTGAGGCCAATCCAGGCTACATGAAACCACAATTAAACCCCAGCCCTACCACCACACTCCAGGAAAAAAACTTCATCTGAGGGAGAGAAAAAAAAAACAAACCCTACTATAACCAACTGTAAAGTTAAGTGCCCTAAAACACTCCAATCACATAACGGAAAAGTGAAGTCTTTTAAAGTGAGGGAGTAGGGTGGTGGCCAAATGGCAGATACTTGCCTTGTCTGGCATGTGTGAGGCCCTGGGTTCCATCCATAGCACCACAAACAAGC